CGACACTGCAGTCGACGAATAGACGCGGAGACCGAGCACACTTTATAATAGTATATTATATTATACTGTGTTATATTATTTCAGACAATATAGGCGAAATCGTACCTAACCTAACCTAGCTTTTCCTGTACAAATAAAAAAAAAAAGAAAATTACTCATAAGATGAGGTACTATTTTTTTAAAATACAATTATTTGGCTTTTAGGTAAATTTAGTAAATATAATATAATATTGTATATTTTCATGTACCCGATTTTTAAAATAATTATTAACATTATGTACTCATATAAATATTCAACAGAAAATTAACAATTTTAAAGAATGTCCATCAAACCGTTGCAAGTCCAAAAAGTAATAAACATAAAAACTCCACAAGTCGGATGAAAAAATATTTTAAATGTATAAAAATTTACTAAAAGCTGACGATGGTACAAAATCTATGAATCTGCACATATTATGTTATTTTATAATCTAATAAGTTCAGACAATGTGAAAAAATTAAACAATATGCAGGAGATTTAGTAACATTTAAAACAGCTCTTTTGGACCAACAGATTTTGTTGTCTTTGACGTTCGATCTAAAAATATTATGCGATTGTACGATCTAAATACATCCTCTTTTATCAATTTTTTTTTCTCTAAAATTGTCGGATACGTGTAACCATCTTAAAACGTAGACAGATCAAAGGTAAAATGAAAATGTATTACTGTCGCAGAAACTACACTCGTCAGAAATGTCACAGTCGGCGACACCACGTAAAAATATATTTTATAAATATAACCATCTAACGATGTTATTTTCATCCCGTAGAACATAAAAAGTTCAGCCATACAAACAACTTAAAAATAATTATTCTGCACACGGCCATCTTCATAAATAATAATATGATACGTTCTCAATAGGAAACGCTGGAGATTTACATTATTATATTATTATATATTGTATAAAACACTCTCCGATTTCAACGGCATCAAAGGAAAATATAGGGTTAAAGAGAGCTTTCCATGATTTCTTAGGAATATTATAATAATAATAACAACGATGCGCATTCTGTTGAGAGACGTGCTGCTGCTGCTGCGTTCATCGACTTGATCATTGCAAGACCGACCTTTCTATTTTTTCGTGTTTATTTCGTTGATGTTGTGCATCGTAAATACTAAATGATAAAAGTTAAGTTCAAGTTATATCATCGTCTCGATAGACGTAGTCGTTATCATAATTTTTTTGACTGGGGTTTGAATATAATAACGATATTTTTGTTGTATTCACTGTTTGAAAATATTTTTTGCCAAAACTGGTACACCGCGGACTACAAAATCCCATATTAATTAATGCAGTTACATTGATTTGGTACCTTTATTTTTTTTTTTCGATCATATACATTATCACAGAAAAATGTACTACGGTAGTGTCAAGAGTTTGTGCCACTCCTATAAAATATCACCAATTGATTCATACACTTCAATATTGGACGGAACTAAAACAGTTCGGTGGCTCTTGTTTGAACTTTATCTGCATATTTAGAGGATGATTAAGACATATTGAGACTCAATTGATGACTGGTGGAGATGACCTATTGCGTTCCAAATATAAGTATCCCAATTAAGTCTTAGATAATTACAAATAAACATAAAGATATAATAATATTCATACAGTCAATTCTGAACTAATAATAATATAATTATGGATCATTTTCGAAAGTTTAAAAATTCATTTTGTGCATAGAATAAAATAATATACTAAATATAGATAATAGATACCTACTAATAAATACTTCTAATTATGGTATTAGAATATACAATATTTTATTTGTATATACAATGAATGAAACAATATGTTAAATAATTAATATATATGTATTTATAATGTGTTTTCAATAGGTTGAGTTGTATGACTTATTTTTATTTTGGTACCCACCATGGTGCAGCCACGTCCTAATAGTTTTACCATCTTGCAAATCATCTACTTTCTTTATAATATTTTTGAAGGACTAGAAAGCACCATTTAACTATTATTGTGCCACGTATTGCTATGGCTAATCGTTAGGTATAAAACTATAATAATATCGGTGCATCCGAATTGCATGATATATATCTTATTAAAGGGTTTCTTATTAAATGGCATGCCATAAAACTTCCAATCGTGCAAAACTGTGACTAAATATAATATTTATTATAAATAGTTGATAATATTTAAACTGTGAAAAATAAATTATACAAACTTTAAATAAAATTGATTAAGTACAATAGTGCGACAATTATTCATTATTAGATGTGCCATGTGTGGATAAAATCGAATTCAATAACGTGATCAAATAAGGACGAACAATTAAGTTTATAAATGAACAGTGATTAAAATAATATGACGTTGAACACATTTCAGTATATGAATGTATTTTACAAAAAACAAATTCAATTTTCCAATAATAATTTGTATTTGTTAACAATTTAAGATATATGTTTTTATTCAGACATAAGTTAAATAAATAATTTAAATATTATATATATTTTAAGTTTATTTGTATAGGAAAGACACAGTGTTAGTCGCGGGTAAACCTTACGGTACACGATGGCATATTTATAAAACTAGGTTTTCCAGCCAACGTATTTCATTTATTTTTTTTAAATGAATTATTTTTTTTATTATTATTCGTAAAATATTTAATACATTTTCACAATTTGTATGATATTATTATGTATTAATCCTATTGTAATATATAATAATATAATAGACATTATACAAAATAAAATATAAACACATTTTTCTATGCCCGTCTTGCTAGGCATAGGCATCATCATAGGCTATAGTGCTATACGAGTACTCATATATAGTAATACCTATATTATGTTTAATAACTGATGTGTAATGGGCTTGAGACTTGAGTCATAGATGGACCATGATGATTGATGGCAAATCACAGAATTAAGAGCTTATGATTTGCCATCGACCTTAATTGTTGCCACGGGTAATGAATTAAACACCAGATTGCTTATTCTATTTTATTATTGTTCCAAGTTTTCAGCATAATAATATATTACCGTCGCGCTGGATCAAGAATTCTCTAAACAATCACAGTCGTTGATTCGTCAGCACGATTTAAGAAAGTATCTAAAGGCAATAATAGTATAATCTTGCTGGTCGTCACTCGTCGGCAATACACGAAATGGTATAATCACAGACTATATGAAAACAGATAGCTCACTCGGGATGTAAACAAAAACTATGAATATTATCACCGCGACCAAATCAGTGTGACCACAGTGAGGGCATAACATTTCGTTTGGTCCATGACAAAAAAATGACGCGATTGCTACCTGCCGCCAACATTGAAATTCATACTAACTACCCTTCTATTCTATAGGATCTGACCTTTTACATCCCTTAGAAAATAGGTTATCTTGGCCTTTAGTTGCTGTTTGCACGACTTCCATGTGACTTATTAGTTGACCACTGACCAAGTGTGTAGTTTACTTAATTTTCAGTTTACAATTTAGTTGTACTTCTTAATTTTAAAATGGATAGTAAAAAAACAGGAATGCGTTGCTCTGTACAATTTTGCAAAAGTAAAGCAAGTACTAGGAATATAAGTTTCTTCCAATATCCAAAAGACGATCGTCTAGCATTATGGACAAAAAATTGTGGTACAGAAAATTTGACTGAAGAACTATCAAAAAAAAATAGCTATAAAGTATGTGGGGATCACTTTGTAGATTCAATGTTTTTGAACTCCACAACAAAAAACCGACTAGTTTTCAATGCTATTCCAACAATATTTAATGGTAAGTAAATAATAAAATTATTAAAACATGTTTAAAAATTATACAAATAATTTGAAAAACAAATTTGGATCTTTATAAAGTAATTTTTGGTATAATAATTTAATTTTAATTTTAGTTACGGTTTTTTGAATTTAATTTTTAGATGAAATAATGTTTGAAAGAACTAAATTGGCCAAATTACAGTTGAAAACCGATGTAGATCCACAGTATTTTGATGATAATTCAAAAGACCAGAGTAGCTGTAGTAGTTCAATTCCAGGCACTGAAGGATTAAGAAGTCATTTTAGTGGATCCATGAATACTTCTGATGCTTCAAATGAATCTTGTAGCTCAATCACAACTACTGATTCTTCAAATCAAACACCTGGATACTTATCGGCAAATACACCAAGGAAACAAAAACTAGTCACGGAGATTAAATCTGGAAAACAAGAAATAAAAAATTTAAAGAAGACTGTAGTAAGTCTAAGTCAACAATTAGCTAACTATGATACAGTTGAAAATTTTTTAAAATTAGCTGAAAAATATTTATCACCTGGATTATTTACAATTGTCAAATCCCAAATGAATTTAAAAAAAAAACAAAAAGAAGGTTATAGATATAATAATGAAATTAAACAATTAGCATTAAATATTTATTTTTTAGGACCTAGAGTCTATAAACTTTTATTAAATACTCTTTCACTACCATCAATTTCTACTTTAAAACGGTTAACTCATAAATTTGAAATGATACCAGGCTTGAATGAATTTTTTTTTAATATTATTAAGTATAAAATTAAATATTTTACTGACGAAGCTAAAGAATGTGTTCTCTGTGCAGATGAAATGGCCTTAAAATCAAACCTCTATTATATGTTAAACAAAGATGAAATTATAGGGTTTCATCAAACAAATAAGACAAAGACTTATACTCCTGCCAAGTATGCATTTGTTCTAATGGTTAGAGGAATAAATGTTAACTGGAAACAACCAATTGCATACTTTTTAGTATCAAGTAGTTGTACCGGATATGACTTGCAGGATATTATTTTTGAAACTATTCGCAAACTTTTTGATATAGGATTAAATGTAAAAGCTTTTATTACAGATATGGGTTCTAACTTTGTTAGTTTCAGTAAAAATGTTAATGTTACCCCAGCCAGGCCTTTTTTTAAAGTTGGTGAAAAAAAAATAATATATATATTTGACCCTCCCCATTTATTAAAATCAACAAGAAATATGTTTTTTCAACACAATTTTAAATTTAATAATAACTTAATTGAAAAAAAACACTTAATATCATTTTTTGAACAAGACAGTAAATGTAATTTAAGAACAGCCCCAAAATTAACACATTCTCATATTTTTCCTGGACCATTTGAGAAAATGAAAGTTTTTTTGGCTGCGCAAGTGTTTAGTCAAAGTGTAGCAGCCGGCATGGAGACTTACCTTGTTAGTAATAAATTGGAGTCTTCTTCAAAGGCAACAATAGATTTTATAGAAAATATGGACAAACTTTTTGATATCTTCAATTCTTCAAGAAGGCCAACTTCAAAAAATTTCAATAGACCCTTTAAACAAACAAAAGAACAAGAAGACCATTTAAAATATATGCATAATTTTTTTACAAATTTAATTATTATTAGCAAAAAAGAACAAACTGATGTTACTAACCGGATGAAATTTATTAATGGTTGGTTGATCTCCATAACTGGCTTGCTGTTACTTTGGAAAGACTTAAAATCAACAAGACCATTAAACCAACAAGAAAATTATGTTTTATACACTGCCAGATTAAACCAGGATACTATTGAGAATCTTTTTTGTACAATTAGACAACAAAATGGCAATAACACTAATCCAACTCCTTATCAATTTTTGTTTGCATTTAAAAAAATTTTTTTACTTAATTATTTTCAACACTCAGAAAAAGCAAATTGCATAAATGATTTGGATGCAATTTTAACTCAAATACCCACTGATTCAGACTTAGACATTAGCACCCTATTTGCTGATAAAACACCCTTTCAATTTAAAAAAACGTGTCCACTTTCTATAGGACATGTTGATTATAGAAATTTAGAAATTCCTGAACAAAATGCATTCATTTATGTTTGTGGATATATTATGAGTAAATGTCTAACCAAACACTCATGTGAAATATGTTTAGAGTATGCAAAAACCCAAAAAAATTTAGATCCTTCATTTTTGTTATGCTTTTTTAAAGCGTATGAAAATGCTGAAAAATCAACTTTTGGAAATTTAAATATGCCCCATGAAAATTTTTACAATTATGTTTATAGCTTGGAATCTGAATTTATAAATAGTTTTCCTATTTTGTCTGTTGAAAAAGGAATAGGCGATAAACTTAAAATGAGAATGCTTAATATTGATTATGAACATCCATGTCCCAACTTTGATAAAGATTACTTACTGAAGTTTTTTTTGCGTTTTAGAATTTATGCTTCAATTAAATTTTTAAATAGACATTTGGTATCTGAAAAAAAAATCAAAAACAGAAAGTTAGCAATTTTGCAGCATTTGTAAAGCAATATTTTGTAATTGTATTAATTTTATAAATATTTAGATGTATAATTGTAATTTAATAAATACCTTTTTTTATTAGAATTTAATATGTGCTAATTATACTAATTGAATTGTATGATACTACAATTGCTCCATTTATGTTTGAATACCTGTAACTAAATTATAAATTAAACATTAATTAGTTATTACTTTTGTAAATTGTATTATAAGTCTTTATATGTGTCTCTATGTTGTAAATAAAACATATTTAAGTTAGGAATAAATTATGTACTGTGTAATTATTTAGATTACCTACCTATAAATACTTATTATAGATTTTCTTATATATTACCAAATTAGTATATATATCATTTTTATGTTTTAATATGTACTTACCTTTGTTTTCCTTAAGCATGGAAAATGTCTAAATATTGAAATAAATATTTTTTTTATGTAAAGTATGATATCATCATCATGTTTACAGTCTACAGTACTCACAAATGTATTGCAGGTAACTTTAAATATTAACTATATTATAAAATAATATGGTCTGTGGTTAATACTAAAAGACTAAAAAAGTTTTAATGTAAATTTAAATTTATAAAGTAAAGTTAAAAATACAGACTATCTGACTATCTGTGTTAAAAGCTTGTGTTAACTAATAAACTAATAAATAATAAAAACTTTTAACTATCGTCTTTCACAGTTTCACATGTCATTAACTTACGTCTTACTAATTACAATCGGTACATACAAATATACAATAATATTGTATAACATCTGAACAATAATTTATTTAAACGCATGTAGCTACACTGATTTGGTCGCACCCAATCAGAGGATCTTATTTTTTTTCCCATTGTTTTCGGCCGAGTGAGCTATCTGTTTTCATATAGTCTGTGGTATAATGGTAAATGGTTGCCGGCAACCGGCATCCGAGAGACCGCGCCGTCGCAATCGGCAATTGTCGTACGTCATCGCCACCGTCGAGATGAGAGTAGTGGGGATTGATGAGTCGGGACGAAAATATCGTAAATATCCCCCTACCCACCGCTTATCCATCCCCACTGTTCCGCATGCAAAATCGGTCTTAAAAGTACTTGAACGTTTTTGCTTATAACTTATAAACTATCTAACCAATCTGCTAGCGAGTTCCTCTGTTCTCATCTGCACAATATTTCTGATCGATTGATACCTTATACGACTCTATATGTTCAACCGTTTGCCCTGTAGAGGTTGATAAAGGATTAACAAAAATTAGGACGGTTTTTTAATGTTAAAACCCGGTTTCCTGTCGATATACTCTGCTGTGGCTACTTCTCTATTTTTTTTTACTTAACTTCGCGCCACTACCATCGCTCTGGATAATCGAGTACGTCGGGTCAACCACGCGTCACACGAGGCATTGGCAAGCTTTGAGCGTTCGGTTATTCAATTATAGACGCGTTTGTATAGAAATAATTATTATTATTGTGTAGCACATAAAGCAATAATCATGTAATACGGGACACGTGTGGCGTGACGAGGCGCAACGCGTACAATAATTAAAAGCCATCAAACAGAAAAAGGGCACACCCTTGACGTTTTCAAAATGCACCACTGCAATGACTTAATATCATGACGTGTGTTTGTGTGTATGCGCAGGCGCGTGCGTGGTTTTTTCGGTCAATGTTATATATGTATATATTGAATGTCTTTAATTAAACCGACTTGCTGTAAAGACGGACTGTTATACGTCAAAAAGGGGTTTGCTCGAATTCAGAAAACAGGTCATTCGGTTGATTAAACGGACGAACTCTTGCGAATAATTAAAACAAAGCCGTCTGCAGTCATGAGAATGGGGAAAAGATGTCTGTGTAGAGCACCATCGATCGGCTTAATTATATTCTTACCAAACTAGTAATACGACGTTTTGAGAGGGAAATTAAAATATGATTTAATCGTTTGAACAATATTAAAATCATTTTATTTTCGTCCATTAATCTATAATATAGCACAATATTAGGTATATAAATTATTAATAATTGTAGTGTTTCCAACTAAACAAATGCACAATTCATTCTAAAATGTATAGCTTATAGGCATGTTAGACATGAGTTATAATAATAACCTTCTAAGAAGTGTTCAAATTTATATTATTAATATTTAATAATAATTTAATCAAGTCTCATGGCATGAAAAATGTAATATAATATTTTGTAGGTACCTAGTGTTAATAATAGTATGAAAATGAACAATCCGATTAAAGATTTAGTAAGCCTTGAGATAAAAATAAATAAATAACACGTAATCAAATAATAAAAATAAATGTATGTTCACGATGTGTACCAAAAAAAAAATCACTCAAGTAGAATTTTAAGTGTTATTTGATTTCTGAACTAACGCCCACAGATTTTTTTCATAGCTATAATTTATATAAATATGTTAACGTTTTGAATGCATTGGGACGACTATCTGATCTGTGATTAATCCAAGTCTGAGAAAAGGTTTTTAAAAAAAATAATCTATGCTATGTACTATGTAGATCATAAATATAAATTACTAAAAAACTTTCCACCATGTTTCTTCATTATTCTTCTATTTCTTCATTGGCCAAGCAATGAAGTTATGTATTACATTACTTATAATTGCATCCATGATTCAATAATATGAAACAAATTTTTCTTACCATTAACTCATCAAATATGAAATATTACTATTATTTTGAACGATAATTTTGTTGTTTAAATCAAAATAAATACAATGTTTTCATAAAAAATCCTAAATAAAATATACTATTATTGTACTGATTCATGACGTTTTTCAAGGTTTAAATTTTTTGATTTTTTATAATTTGATTCACAACATAATTATCAATTCAAATTTATTAAAAATACATATGATGCTCATTTTAATCTTATTATTACTCTTATGTACAGTTAATATGTGTATGTTTATCATAATTAAACGATATATCCGAGGAAACATTAACTACCACTATACCTGGCTACCTATATAATTATAATTGTTGTGATGATTTAATATCTTATCATTTTCTTCTTTTAGGCTTACCTAAACTCAATACACGAACATCTTTATAATATGGGTATAGATCAAACGAATTTATTTTGAACTAAATCGTCAATCAATATTATACGTAACTCAATTTTTTATTGCAAACTTAGTTTTATTTTTAAGCTCTTGAGACTTGTTAGCGAAATTAACATATGAGCTTAAATAATATCCATATAAACATAAATTATATAATGGTCTATAGAGTCGTAAAGAGTTCAGTCACAGAAGAATAAGAAGTCAAAACAAACTTCAGTAAAAGATAGCTTCATTTATGCGTTATGCAACATATAGTACAACTATCAAAAAAAATGGCCATGCTCTTGCCTGACGATCCAATCTTAATCGACTATAGGGAACCATAGTTTTAGAGAGAAAAAAAGAGAAAAATATTTTAAATCGTTCGAAATGAGTGTACTTATTATGACTACTTTAATTTAATTTTTACACATAAAATACAAGTTTCTTAATAATTTATGATTGAGTCATAATTGTATTTTATTTTATATAGTATACTAACACATTTAATGTAGAGGAGTTATACAAGTAATAAAATATAGAGGCAATCCATAAAAATGTAATTTTCCATATCGATAAAAACTTGCGATGATAGCACTCGTTCACGTCATATTATTTTATTTTTGAAATTGTATCACATAATACGTTCAGTCGTAAAATATCTGCAAACTTATTTGTTTTATTATACCTGCACAATTCCAAATTCAAAAATCTGCAAGAAGGAAACGGTGGTTGTATCTAGAGGTCGATGCCTTCACTCGTGGCTACTGCTTAGCAGTCCCGTACAGAAATCTGGCTGTATTTTTTTTAACCCTTAACTTGGTGTTGTATCTTTTTGGATACGCAAAGTTTGTGAATTTTTGTACGGAATCCGATGTACAATATTTTTATTTTTATTATTTGTACACTTTGATAAATGTCATATCTCCCACGTGAGTACACTACGATAACGTTTCTATGATGATTGGGATTGATAATAAGTAATAACTGTTTTTTGTTATCATTTTTTGGAAATTTAAAGCCGATCAAACTCGTTGACTTCAACTGCTAATTTCATCAAATTTTAATGTGTTACTAGAATCAACTCAGTTAATCACTTTTATGTAAAGTTTCTAATAATATATGCAATAATGCTTATTTTATATCAATTTTAAAAGTATGTATCCTTTTAGATACATGAATATTAGTATTGGTTTATGGCTATGTATCTTGTAAGATACAATTCATAACTTTGAACTTTCAAGTCCAATATTTTGTTGACAACATTTTTTAATTCAGCGACCTTAAATTAGTTTGAAAATATCTACTTTAAAATGTTCATTCTAATATTTTAATGCTTGACAAGTTAAGGGTTAAGCCTAGAACTATTCAATATAAATACAATATAATTTGTATATATTTTAGAATTTGGACGTGTGTGAAAAAAAACTCGGGAAGCAATCACCAGCCGATTAAAATATCAGAACTCAAGTTTATTCTCAATAACATTGTATAGTCCCCAATAATTAAACACTGATTGTATCTAACTATAGAGTAATTTATACTACCTGCAGAATAATACTCGATCAGTCATTATAATATTATGTCACTCGTGTGCTTTTGTTTTGTAATACACTTAAGTACGTACGTATATTTTGTATAGTATTTCAGGCTTATCCGTATTATGAGATAAAATAGCTTCATCACATGAATGTAATCATTTATACACCCAATCCCGACGACAAACCCTTATGTAGGACGACGAAGGACTTCAAGAGTTTTTCTTTATGCCATTTTTACGATGTACGATTTAGATTTTAGAATATTATTGGGAAAAAAAACAGTCCGCCGTCGGATGTACATATACCACCGTCCACAAAGTTTATCCATAGGTCAATATAGGTTAGGTTATAGGTATAAACTGTAATTTTCGTCGGGAATATCAATAGAGTTTATGGTTGAAAACCATCATG